CCACCTATATCCCATATGACACACCCTGGCTAGTATAGGTTGCAAAATATCATACTACATATAAGTTTGCAAAATATCATACTACGTATAGTTTGCAAAAAATAAGGGTTTAATAAAACCTTTGCTTCAATAAAATATTAACCCCTTGCTATAAAACCTGTATAGTTTGCAAAATATCATACTATGTATTAGGGTAAATTACATTCTGCACCCTCAACTTTGGGTCATATAACAAATTCATACCTCATTTTTTGAACATTGCAATGTCATACATCAATTTACGAATTCGTTTCAATGTTAGACCTTTGATAGTCAATCTATTAAATTGACCGTTAAGTGATGACATGGCAATGATAAGTAGCATAAATTTGATGACATGGCCATCAATTTTGTACTTTGTTGAATAATAAAACAAACAAAAAAGTTTAATTATTAATAATATTACCACAAATTAATTAATTAAAAAATAAAAAACAAGTGCAGACTTTCCCATTCCCAAACACCCCATCTTCCCCAACAAACCTATCCCTCTCCAGCCTCCATTGCATGGGCCACGGGATTCATCCAGCCAAAAACACCACCCCCTATCGAATAATCTACACTACATCACTAATGTTCTTCCACTGCATCTTTGCACCACAACGTCGGCATCACCATATAAAATGACAAGCTCAAGGTTGTGTTGCAGATGAGCCTCGATGAATGGGTATACAACCAACCATCAAAAAACCCAATTGAAGAATCTGATGTCTACTTCTCCAATTTCCATTCTTTCCAATTATTTTTGTGATTTGATTTGGTTTTTTGGGTTGGGTGTGTATTGATTTGGAGGAATTGTAGCTTTCGTTTAATTTGGGGAAGAAGACGGGAGTACCTTTCTTAGATGGAATATAAGGCTTTATATAGGCTAGCCTAAGGACCCCTTAATCTCACGTGAAAAGAACTGACTCCACTAATCCCTACTATCAAGGGATTCGCTGAGTCAAAATCTCCCTCTTATCTGTCAACTAGAGTCATGCTCTTAGTGGAATGTAATCAACTAGAGTCATGCATGTAGTGGGTTGTTTGACTAATTCACATCTTAACTAATTACCAATATCAATAACTAAATATTAATGACTAATATGTGGGCCACCTTAAGTGAAAATATTTGAACGTTGTTAACATTCTCCCACTTGGTCCAAATATTAACATTAGAATGATATAGACATGAATGGATAGATAGCTTGATCGAAACTTCCCAGATAGACAATGACAAGAAATATAACCCAACAGAAAAACTCAAACACGAATCATGGCGGTCAAGACTCAAAAACCATGCCCTTCCCTTCCATGTATTACAATGTCTGAAACTCTCTGTTTGAGTCCTTTGTGAACAACTTTAACTTGATATTCTTGGTCCTTCTTTATCAATTCCATTGAATTGATAAAAAAAACCTTATTGTGCACAAAATTAAAACACTTTATTGACTTCAAAATACTTAAATACAAAGCTCAACAATTAATTACAAAGATGATTCAATGATTCCCATATTACCCTTAGTCATGGGGTCTGCTATCATTTGTTGAGTGCTTATATGTTCGATAGAAATTTCACCATTTCTAACATGTCTTTTGACAACCAAAACCTTGATGTCAATATGCTTATTGTGGCTTCCACTTTTATTGTTCTTTGGGAAACAAACTACAGCCATATTATCACAATAAATCTTCAAAGGCCTTGCAATACTATCAACGTTCTTTAAACCTGTGATAAAATTCCTTGTCCAATTTGCATGCGCAGAAGCTTCAAAAACAGCGATGTATTCTGCTTCCATGGTAGACGAAGCAACTAAAGTTTGCTTGGCGCTCCTCCAAGACACAGCTCCTCCAGCAAGGAGATAAATGTATCCTGAAGTAGACATTCTTGAGTCTACACAACCAGTGAAGTTCGAGTCTGAATAACCAACTACTTCCAAAATGTCGAAGTGTTTGTATGTAAGCCTATATTCCTTGGTTCCTTGTAAATATCTCATGACTTTCTTAGCAGCCTTCCAATGCTCCAAACCTAGATTACTTTGGTATCTACCCAACATTCCAACTGCAAATCCTATATCAGGTCTTGTACACACTTGTGCGTACATTAGGCTGCCAACAGCTAAAGCATAGGGTATATTCCTTATTTGTTCTCGCTCCAAATCATTCCGTGGACATTGGTTAAGACTGAACTTATCTCCTTTGACAATGGGTGCAATACTAAGCGAACAATCTTTCATCTTAAATCTTTCCAAAACCTTTTCAATGTAGGACTTTTGAGATAGGCTTAATGTTCGTAGAGATCTATCTCTGTGAATCTCTATGCCAATGACATAGGAGGCTTCACCCATATCCTTCATATTAAAATTTTGTGAAAGAAAATGTTTCGTCTAATGCATTAAACCGAAGTCACTGCTTGCAAGCAAAATATCATCCACATACAAAACTAAAATTATAAATTTACTCCCACTAATTTTAAGGTATACACATTCATCGACAATATTAGCCTCAAAACCATAAGAGGTAACTACATTGTCAAACTTTAAATACCATTGGTGGGAGGCCTGTTTCAGTCCATATATGGATTTTCTTAATTTGCAAACTAAATGACTTTTCTTTTCGTCAAAGAAACCTTCTGGTTATTTCATGTATACCTCTTCTTCAAGATCTCCATTCAAGAACGCTGTTTTCACATCCATTTGATGTAACTCTAAATCAAATTGAGCTACTAAAGCCATGACTATTCTAAATGAATCCTTCTTTGAGACCGGAGAGAAGGTCTCATGGTATTGATGCCTTCCTTTTGAGTAAAACCCTTAGCTACAAGTCTTGCCTTATATCGTTCGATACTACCTGATGCATTCCTTTTGGTCTTATAAACCCATTTGCATCCAATAGTTGAATGCCCATTAGGTAGTTCAACGACCTCCCAAACTTGATTTTTAGTCATAGATTCCATTTCATCTTGCATGGCATTATACCAAATATTAGAATTTGGTCCATTCATGGCTTGGGAAAACGTGCAGGGATCATTTAGTGGTCCAACATCATAATCAGACTCTTGTAGGAGTACAACATAGTCGCTAGAAATGGCAGGCTTCTTTATTCTTGCGGATTTTCTTATAACTACTCCATGATCTTCAATTTGTTCATTTTGAGGAGTAAGTTCTTCGTGACCTTGTTCTTCATGAAGTGGTTCCACTTGAACATGTTGTATTTCAGGAGTATCAATTGAATGATTTTCTTGAAAAACAACCAATCCTTCTTCTTTATAAGAAAGCTCACAGAAAGCTCATTAGCCTCATTAATTTCCTCAATTTCCATATTACGAGGCAATTCACTCCCACTAAGCTCATGATCTTCAAGACATTTAGCATTTCTAGCTTCAACAATTCTAGGTATGTGTGAAAGACAAAAGAATTTGAATCCCTTTGCATTAGGTGGATAGCCTATGAAAAAACCACTTACTGTCCTTGAGTCAAGTTTCTTTAATTGTGGATTATAAAGTCTCACTTCAACTGGACAGCCCCATATGTGTAAGTGTCTCAAGCTAGGTTTCCATCCATTCCAAATTTCAAACGGTGTTTTAGGAACGGCTTGAGATGGAACCCTATTTAAAACATACACAGCAGTCTTTAAGGCCTCACTCCACATGGATATAGGGAGACTTGAATTGCTAATCATGCTCCTTACCATGTCCATAAGTGTACGGTTCCTTCTTTCGGCCACAGCATTTTGTTGTGGTGTGCCTGGCATTGTATATTGTGCAACAATACCCTCTTCTTCAAGGAACTTAGCAAATGGACCTGGCATTTGTCCTTTTTCTGTGTACCTTCCATAAAATTCTCCACCCCTATCAGACCTTACAATTTATTTTTTCTCTCCTTTTGTTTCTCTACCTCCACTTTATATGTTTTAAAAGCACTTAGTGCTTCAGCCTTATCATTTAAAAGGTAAAGATACATAAAGCGAGAATGATCATCTATAAATGAGATGAAATATTTTTGACCATTTAGACATAGAGTGGGAAAAGGTCCACAAAGATCAGTATGTATGATCTCAAGTAACTCCGAACTCCTTTTGGCACCTTTAGAGGACTTGTCAGTTTGTTTTCCCTTAATGCAATCTCTACAAGTCCCATAATCAGTAAAATCTAAAGTCATCAAGACTCCATCATTTACTAATCTCTTGATTCTCTCTATGGAGATATGACCTACTATTTTATGCCAAAGCTTTGAGGAGTTTTCATTAATAATACATCTTTTAGAACCAACATTGTCAGCCATTGTTGAAAGATTACAATCATGCGTGGGGTCTAAATTCATTTTAAATAAACCATCTGATAAAACACCATCACCAATATTCAAACCATTCTTAAATAAACTTATTATTGGATTGTCAAAACCAACCTTAAAATTACAAAGTACCAACTTTGAAACTGAAATTAAATTTCTAGAAAAAGATGGAACATAAAAGACATTTTTCAAATCTAAATTAAAACCAGATGCTAATTTTATTCTAAAAGTCCCCACTACTTCAACACTGGAGCACATCCGATTTCCTGAGTAGATGTATTGCTCATTGCCACTCTGCTTCCTGTGGTTTAGGAACCCCTGCATGAAATTGGTAATGTAAATTGAAGCACCAGAGTCAATCCACCATGTATTACTAGGAGCCTCAACAAAATAAGATTCATGACACACATAAGCAAATAAAGTACCTTTCTTTTCCAGCCATTTAATGTACTTGCCGCATTCCTTCTTCTTGTGTCCCTTCTTGTTGCAGAAGAAGCATGCATCCTTGTCGGCAAAACACTTCATCGGTTTCTTTCCTTTCACCTTAGGAAAACGCTTGCCCTTCTTGGCACCTTCATGCTCGTTAACTACCAGATGAGCAGTTTCCAATTTCTCAAGTTTCAATCTCTCTTCCTCTTGAACACACATGGTCAGAAGTTCATTGGAAGACCATTTTTCCTTATGTGTGTTTTAAGAAATCTTGAATGGTCCATACTCAAGAGTGAGAGAATTGAGAATGAAATTGACCAAGAATGACTTAGAAATCTCTATCTCTAAGGACTTAAGTTGAGCTGTAATGTCCCTCATTTCCATAATGTGCTCACGCACACTCTTGGAATTGTCGTGCTTCATGCCTGAAAGTTTCTGCATCAGGGTACCAGCAAGTGCCTTATCAGATTTCACAAATTGTTCTTCAATGGCTTTCATGAAATCTGTCACCTTATCACATTCTGGGATTAAACCCCGAATGCTCTTGCTCACACTGGATTTGATGAGCATCAAACTTAGGCGATTAGATCGCTCCCACTGCTCATACATAGCCTTGCCTTCTTGAGTGCTTGATTCCGTGGGCATGGGTGGTTCATCTCCATAGAGAGCAAGGTCGAGATCCATGCACCCCAAAGCCAACAGGACTTATCAGAAAAATTATCACCACACAACATTGGAACACGAGATGAATCAAAAGAGATAACTGCAAACCAAAGAAAAACAAATAAATCATGCTTTTGAAATGTAAATTCACACCTTCCTCTGGGCAGAGGTTGTTTAACACAAGAATTTACATATGCTTTAAGGTAATCAAGACATCAAAACCAAAAAATCTATACCTGTGGGAATAGGAAAACTAATACTTATATGTCTAGATTGCCATTTTGCTTTTCACTAATATTAAATAATTACTTCCTGCGGGTAGAGTAGTTATTTAGATTACTGTAATTTGTAGATGCTCATTCCTCATTCCTTACGTGATTAAATCACGCACTTTATAGACTTAAGATGTTGCGGCTAATCTTAAATCAACATGAAGCTATTATATATGTATCAACTTACTGAGTACAGATGCAAAGAAACTCATAACATACATGGATATAGCATTAACTTATTGTCTTCATTAATAATGAAATAAAACTCATAGTATGAATAGATTAAACAAGTTTGAACCCTTAAGCACGTTCAAGCAATATCACTTCGTGTCTTGGGTCTGAATTGTGAACAATATGTACTGAAGGTGGCTCTGATACCACATGTTATCAGTTTTAGTAATCACATTCAGCGCAGCAACATGTAACATATAATTCGAACTAACCTCCAGCCATGATTGACCAACAGCGGGTTTTCAGCAACACAGCAATATTGAGAGCTCCTGTAACTCTAGTTTAAGTGATCTTCTAGCCTGTAGCCACTCGTGAGTACCTTTTTTTGATGGAATATAAGGCTTTATATAGGCTAGCCTAGGGACCCCTTAATCTCACGTGAAAAGAAACTGACTCCACTAATCCCTCCAATTAAGGGATTCACTGAGTCAAAATCTCCCTCTTATCTATCAACTAGAGTCATGCTCTTAGTGGAATGTAATCAACTAAAGTCATGCATGCAGTGGGTTGTTTGACTAATTCATATCTTAACTAATTACCAATATCAGTAACTAAATAACATCTCAAATATAATAACACATAATATCAAATGCTCATCAACATGTGCAGACATACAAGTTCGTGCAGAGAGATTCTGACATGAAACATGTTGGTTGTAATAATGATCTACGCTTGAGTACCACATACACGTGAAGTTGGTGCTAAGTTCATCACATTTAAGAGATAGTTGCCTAATGCAGACTAATACAGGTTGGCACTTAATGAATCCAATGCGAGTGTATCGATGTGATGTGAACATATATTGCCGAACAAGTACAAATCACTAGTATAGGAATGTATGATGAGCATATAAAATATGTATGATCATGCCATGATAGATTCATAAAACTTAGGAATATGATAGTACTTCTAAAGATAAGTGTAATCATGACATGATGTAGAAAAATACTTTAAACAAAGCATTTTTGAAAACTATACAAATATAATGCACTTGAAAATAAAATTCAAATTATGAAGGACGAGATTACCGATAACAATTGCTCCTGGGCTTGTATACAGATCCATTAGAAAAACTCCATTAAAACAATTGAATTTGAAGAAACGAAGTATGGAAACAGAATCAATATGTAGAAATATCCTAAGAAGGGTTGTATAGTCCATTCCATAAAAAATCATCAATCAACGTTGACCGATCAATGGTTAGAGTCGCAAAATTAAGCCAGTCCAAGCCACGTGGAATACTCTAATCCGAATACAAAAACAGGTTGGATCCCTGAGTTATCTTTTGAATTTATTGTCTTGAAGATTCCTCCCCCTTTTTGAAACTCACCCAATCAAAGTCAAGTAAAATACATAATTTTATTTTCAATCCTTAAATAAGAAAACGAAAACCATTTGTTACAGGGTTGACAAACACAAGAATCACAACAAAGAACATGCACAGTAGCATAAATTCTTCACGATAAAAACACCCTAAACAATGTCAACATTTTATTTGTACAATTAGCAGTCAAACAGGCAATAAAAGTATTCATACGACACTAACATAAGTGACATCGTTAGATTCATGTCAAATGAACCTAAATAAGTTAATTTGTTAGTTTTATATTGGATTTGTGTGATTGACCAAGATAAAGCCAACAAGTGATCGAAAAGAACCGTCCCGTCGATCACCTCAAATAGAATTGTAAACTGACTTAGATTGCATCCGGTGCGGAGTTTGTTTGTCCTTAATCATTAGTTAAACATTTCCCCAATTTCATAGGGAGGGGGGGCTTTGCCCAGTTACCCGCATCTATAATGTTGTAATGTTTTCCTTCTTCTCATCTTGCTCCCCTTCCAAATTCCACTTCAATGATCTCCTTGTTCCATTCAAATATACTGAGAGGGTTCTGCTTGTTCCATCATCATTTTCGTACAAGAGAGGCCGGTTCAAGTGCAGGATAACTCAGCATTTTGAAGCATCAGAAGACCAGTTGAACAACCGCTGCCATCAACTTGAGTCCATTTCTACGAAAGCCCCCGGATGGAACTTCTTGCGCAATGCCTCTATGGCTGATTGAATTCGATCTTGGTTCTGCAACAAAATTAGTCAATCAGTTATAGTCATTCAAACAACTTATATGTATATGCATAATACCTCAAGAAATGTTCTAGTACCTTGCCCTCAAAATAGATTATAAGAGGCTCCTTCCTTGATTTGCGACGACAACCTTTGTATTTTCCATGGAAGATCACTATCAGAATTCATGTATGGTATCATGTCCTAGAGATCTAAAGTTTTCAAAGGGCACTCACCAATGTAAAGGTCTGAAAATTCCAGGCAAAGTTTTGACAGAGGTTGAGCAATTTCTACCTGCATTTTTCACCCAATAAAAAAAGAGATGACTACCACACAATTAGCAATACATCAAAATTAGTAATACATCAATTTTGTTATGCATACCCAATTAATTGCATGCTTAGAAATTCCAGAATTTCTAAGAAAATGTGACCTTCTCAATTACCCAACTCAGTACTTTCATGACTAACATTCAGAAAAATGGATACGGTATCCTTCTGATAGTGGACTACATACACAAAGACAACAGACCACTTATATCTCCTGGCATAAGTACTATAAGCTCGTCTGGTGCCTAGGATTTAATTACTCTCTACATTCAAATGTATGTTGAAGAAAGAAATGAAGAAATTTTGACCTAGTTGAAGGTAGAAGATGAATTAGTCATGAAGGAAAGTTATCCCTTCCAATCCCTGTTACCCATAAATGGTAGGATAGCAACACCTAATAGCTTACCGTTCTAGCCACCTCTAACATTATTTTTTACTTAAACATACCTTGAATTTTTTTAGTTATCCAATCATAGGCACCAAACGAGCCTATATTCCCCCTAATGATTCATCTCATGTACCTTTATGGTAAAAAATAGGCCAAGCACAGAGTACAAGAATGATCATTCCAACTTATGCACATAGGGGTGAAGTGATTCACACAAAGAGGATTATGCATAAGATGTTAGAAGTTAAAATGGAAGCTACACTAAGACCATTTGCAACCGAAGGGTCTAGAGGGCCAGAGGGCCGAAAATAGCTCGAAAACCATTTCCAACTGAGGGCTAGGATAGAGGGCTCGTGGGCCCCACGGAATCTAAAAGGGCCAAAGGGCTGAATCCTTACAGCCAGCCAGCCAGCCCCAGGCTGGCCAAAAATTCTAGCATTCCTGTCGGTTATATCCGATAAGAATTCTAGGCCAAATTTCAAATGCAACGGCTAGCTGATGGCAGCTAGTCGCTATTTTTTATTTTTATTTTTTTTTACACAATTTTTTTCCTATAACTTCTATTTTACAAAATTTGTTTTATATTTTTTTCTAAATTATATTTTTTTTCCTATAACTTCTATTTTACAAAATTTGTTTCATATTTTTTTTTAAATTCTATTTTTTTCCTAGCTGAGGTCACTTAGCTGTTGGATTTGAATTTAAGTTGTAGTTTTTAAATAATAAATTATGTTTGGCCCTCAGTTGGAGACGGTTTTTTGTGACAAGGCTAAAACAAGCCCTATGGCCCTTTGGCCCTCGGTTGGAGATGGAGGCAAATATGGCCCTGTACTATTCATTAAAATATTAATATCTTGGAGGGTCAAAGGGCTAAAACGAGCCCTCTAGCCAGCCCTCGGTTGAAGATGGCCTAACGAACTAGCAGGGATTGCAGGATGCTGTTTAAGGGGTGGTAAAGCTTTACAAGTCTTGCATGCTAATGTTGTGAGATTGTCAGTGTGGACCACCATGGCTTATTGTTTAAACGTGTGCTTCCATTTAACAGTCTAGTAACTAACAAGAGGTCGTCTGGAAAAAAACAAGAAGTGTGTTGTGTACGCACACCCAAATTTTCAAGACTTAATTGAAGATATATGGAATACAGAATTACTTACATCTGTAAGGTTTGTTGTCAAGTGCCTAGATACAAATGGTTGCAACGTTGCTAGCGCACCGTCAGATATCATTAGTTCAATTAGACAGTTCCACTCCTCATCCAGCTCCAAGACATTTGTTGCCGTAAGGATTATTACATTTTTACACTTGATCTGAAAGAGTATCATTTGAGTCTGTATATAATTAGTACGTTACTGATCGGATGTATATATACACACAAATCACTCAAGAGGGCACTTTTAGATTATTCCCAGTAACGATATCACAAATTCTAGCTAACAGAACATACAAAGAGAAAAACTTCATATGTGACCTTTCAAACACATACCAAAGGGACGATCAGCTTTTCATGATGCAATAGTTCAGTGATACCTTCAGGCAACAGAGCCATCTGAGAAGGCAAAAGCAAGAATACAATCAAATTCATGCTGTGAACTGTGAAGCTTCTAGCACAATAAGGTATGTAAATAACTATTTATGGGAACATACTAATAGTACACAGAAAGTAACAACCAACAGAAATGAGAAAAAAAAAAAAAATGCACAATGAGATCATGATACATTGCATTAAGTATAAGAAACTC